AAACAGCATGAACTGTCAAAAAAAAGTTAGAAATCTTTGGGGGTGCTTTTATTCATTTTGGGGGTGCTGAAGCACCCCCAAAAATGGGCTAAAATCGCCCCTGTACTGTGATGAGTATGGAAAATGGTATCAAATTTAAATACTTTTCTTGGTATCATATCAAAGCTTGAAATTTTAAAGGATAGGCTCCGGGCCCCCAGCGACCCTGAGTGTGACAAGCGGGTACAGAGGATGGATGGATGGATTGGACAACACTAAGTTCATCCACCTGTAGAAGCAGTGGAGCCACTCTGCCTCTCCAGCCGTGGGTGATCGAGTGCATTTGATGCGATCTTCTGGATTGTTAAGTAAGCAGTTTATGAAGGAGGCTGTGGTGTCTGTTTCTCAGAGGTTCCTGCACGGTTAGAAAGCCGGCAGGAGTGCATTTCCTGAGGACACCTCTGCCTCTGGCTGCGCAGGCTGTAGGAGCCTGAATTCACAGGGCTTTGTGGTCGGTGTTTAGCATCATTGGACTCCCGAGTCACACAGTCCTGCCGTCACTCCCAGCCCAGTGTGCATCTCTTGGCCTCGAACCCGGGTCTCTCCTCCTGGCCATTACCGCCAGTTTCTGGCTCCCAGCTGCAGAATCATGGCATCTGTGAACCCTCCCCCTCACTGTCGAGCTGAATTTAATTCTTAGTTTCAGTGGTGTTTTATTTTTTGGGGGGGAGGGGGGTGCAGGGTGCTGTTTATTATATACCCATTTTTAAATTCGCACGTGATATTAAATGAAGATTTTTACGGTAGGGGCGCTCGTAGGAATTTTACGTACACAAATATGTTCTGAGGGCAAAATGAAAACTGATTTATCTCTCTGAACCAATCAGATTTTACAGGAGGTGGGTCCAAGCAGCTAGAGGAGGTGGGACCAAGAATGTGATTGGTTTGGCCTACCCCCTGTAGTTGCGTGGACCCACCTCTTCTGCAATCTGATTGGTTATCTCACTGAACCAATCATTTTTCCTTCTGCCCTCAGAACATATTTGTGTAAGTAAAACTTCAAGAACGTATGTAACAGTACAGTTTCAGTATTTTTATATTTAATAACAAAATGAAAACACATCACACTTTAAACAACACTTTATTTTTCCATATAACAACTATACATTCAGAAAAATGGTAGCATGACTAACTAAGCCTAATTTATGTCTCTACTGTGTGAAATCAAGGAGAAAAGGTACTTCATAATTTTGATAATCTGTCGATGTTTTGTCTATTCAATTTTAAAATAACCTGTATAGGTAATATAAAATTCATTTTCGGAAGAAAACGTTTTGAATAATAAATCTTATTTTTATGAAGAAAAATAATTTTATTTGACAAGAACATATATGAAGTTAAATATGTCACTGTGCTATTGTATAATGACATTTAAATTCTAGCTTTCAAAAATATGATAATCCCAGTGTTTTAGATGTATTTTCTGGGGAAACACTGCACCAGTACATATAGGAAAATGGAAAATGACAGGTATGCTGAGATCACATCATTTTGCACGTTTTTCTTTTGCTGCTGCATCCTGCAGCCTGTTGTGTTCTGTTCGTGTGACACCATGGAAGAGGTTGACCTTTCTCCAGCCTTGGAGGGAAAGCCAGTGTAACTGACATCTCTGGTGCTCCAGAAAGATCGACGTTGTGTTGTCCCTGTCGTTTGTTCCTTTCTTGTACCTTTTGATCTTTACTCCAGGAAGATGAACATCAAGGGTTTAGATTTGGTTATGGAGAGTAGGGGCGTGTCGCTGCTGATGCTGTGGGAGCGTATGTTTTTTGGGGCGCGGGGGGTGGGCGGGTCGAGGCTGATTTGGTCTCTACCAATGCTGAAACTAAATCTACATCCTTGATGCAGGTCACCCAAGTTTCTTTTTTTTTTGACTTTTCGATGAGGACAGAGGTAAATGTTAAGGATACATTCCATGACTGCCTATAAGGTACAGGATCACAGCTTCTGATCGTAATCTGGATGATGCTGTACTGTCAGGATGCTGTACTGTCAGGATGCTGTACTGTCAGGATGCGTAACGCTCCGTTGGCTGAAAATGTTCTTTCCTTCCCTTGGTGGCCCCTTTTAGAATGAAATGAGTTTTGTTTTTTTCTTGTTTTTTTTTTTTTTTTTTT